TCCACCTTGCTTGATGAGGCCGGCCAGACCTACTAATACCTAAAGTATTTATAGGTCTTGATGAGGATCCTCGACTGAGCGGAACGAGCTATGAGTCAAGATAACTGTGTATAGAACTTGTTCATAAAATGTCTCTTGTGTGAGAATATGATCTTATTATAGGTATTAACCTACATAATTCTGGTAATAATCTGGTAATCCTTACTTGTTGAGGTTGCATTTGATTGATTCGCATTTGATAGAGACTATCCTTCCCATCTGTGACTTCTTTTTGCAAATGTCTGATGCAAGATGTGTTGCCATAGACTTTGGGCCAGCAGACTTGATTGCAGGATGCGTAAGGGCCTTCGAACAATAAGTACAAATAACACATGGTTCTCCAGAAAGCCGGTCTGCTCCTTGGTGATAACTTCTCCAGTATTGAGAACTCCAGTTGGTTGAATCCCATGCAATCTTCATAAGGAGTTTTGTAGTATGATCTGAGTGTTGTTCATACCATCGTGATAGCTTCCACCACTCAATGAATATATCGTGTGTATCCTTAGTCCATTTGACGAATTGGTTTAACTTGCCAATATATTCAAGGCCTGCAGGGACTTTGTAAGGATGCCTGTCCCTCAGTGATGGAAAGGATCTGAGTCGGGCAGGTTACGGTCACATGATAAGAGTTAAGGCAGGTTAGCTGAGTCGGACCCATTTCGGGTACTTAAGGAGATTGACCCAAGTGGGGTTCCTCTCTTCATCTTTTTGTATCCTTCGTAGTAGACCTATAGGATAGCATCCGTTTAGCCTCTGACTCGCACTCTCATATGCTATTACTGTGAGCTGGGTGCCCTGTGTCCTTACAGACTTGATTTAATGAGGATAGTCGTTGAGAAGACGGAAAAGAGTCTGAGAATACTGTCAGAATCAAACAACTCTGAGTATTGAGATGGCATTTGGCAAATTGCTCGATTATCAGAAGGTTACCAGAAGTCTGGCTACGATGAAGTACTTAAATACCTGGTTTTCCAACGCGAAAGGTACTCCAGCGCTATAACTTAGCAACTCAAGTTCTCCTCTACTCTAGCTCCAGGAACAACATATCCTGTGCAGCTGATACCTTAGCCCACTTTCCTTATCAAACTTCTTAGAGTAGACAAGTAAGAACGCCTCTTTGAAGCTAGAACTATGAGTGGATATTTGCAACCATCCATTGTCGACAAGATTGTAAGACTTTGGTACCACTGCACAGGTCCTGGTAATTAGGCCCACTTTCCAAACTGCCTGCTCGTACAAACAGAAATATTTATGTGGTGGGATAACCTCGTGAAAAGTGCTATAATAAACAATTAGTATTGCCAGAAGATTGCTAGGATGATCAGAGACGTACCCTTCCTCTACATCAATCCACGGCATATACTCAAAGAGACGCTCAGGCTTCTTTCTCAGCTTTTCAGCCTTTCTCGTATATGAGTGGATACAGCTATCCAGAAATGTTGCCACTTGCGGAAATTGGACTCTTCATGGGCCTATCAACTATTAGTATCACCAGAAGATTACCAGATTATAGGTAGCATACATCAATGTGCGCTGAGTTAAGAGAGCCTGGGTGCTAGTGATCTCTTCATCGGAAAGCTCATCTGGTAGAACAGCCTCGTCATTTAAAATATCTCGCGCTGTAACATAAGCTCCAACTCCAAATCGTCTTCAACCTCAGTATCCTCCCATTCGCTGTTATGATTGTCATCGATTGGAATACTTGAGATACCCTCAAATGCAGCAAGCTCAGACAGAAGTTGTTTGGGCGGAGTAGATGGTGGGGCTTGTGGAGAAGAAGAGGCGCTAATATTCTTGACTTTCTGATTCGCAATGCAGATGCATGGGTACCCTTCTCAGTCCCTGTTTATAGTTAGATTGAGGCTACCAGAGATTACCAGAAGGAACTTACCGAACACAAATACGCTCAACCTTCAATCCATTCTGTAGACGTGTCTTGTCTTCAGTAGAGGCAGCGATATACTTTGTGTAATGACACAGGGCACCCAGCTCACAGTAATAGCATATGAGAGTGCGAGTTGGAGGCTAAAAGGATGCTATCCTATAGGTCTACTACGAAGGATACAAAAAAGATGAAGGGGGAACCCCGTTAAGTTTGTTTCCTTAAGTACCCGAACGGCCCGACTCGTTATCCCAACCCTAGCCCTGAACCTTCCACCGCAACAGGTCCGCATCGACCCTGAACCCTACACCCTTACCGTCCCCACTATAGTGTAACTCGCTATGTCCTCCTCTACTGGTCCGAAACCACACCGAGTCGGATTTCATGCTTGTGGTGACCGTAACAGCTCTGAGGCGGGTTCTTCGAGTATCTAGGTAAGGAGGCATCCTTACACTTTGCAGACTTATATAACTTCTTTAAGTAGTAGCTCAGATCAGCATGGTCAGCCTTGAGTACTAAGTGAACAGCCTTCTCATCTTCAGTAAGGTTGGAGACGCAGTTGCTAGCTTTGATAGTATTCGCATTAGTGGAGAGTTCTTCATGTGCCTTGAGTTTCGCCATACTAACTAAACACGTGATTAGCAGAGATCTCCAGAAGTTCTGGCTATAGAATCAAGATAATAAACTTAGTTGAAGTCCTAGTGAAGAGGTAAAGGCTCAAAAGGGAAGAAGAATGTGTAGATCGGAGAGTAACCAAGGAAGGTGGTTCTAAGGTCGTGGTTATTTTAAAGTTGCAAACAAAATATTTGTGAAGGAATATTCACCTACAAAGAATTACTGTTCCAAAACAACACCACAATGCGCACCTTCATATAAAACACATACCTTTCAACCTCTACCTCTTTACTATACTCTTCTTCTGCAATATTCTTTCTACAAACTCACTGTAAGTACACATATCTTTTGATCTACTTCTTTATCTTGTGTTTACTTTACTAACCAGTGTTCGGCACGGATACCAATATACCCGTGGTATCCGGGTATATCCTCGAGTATATACCTACCCGGCGATATTTTAGGAGTATCCGGCGTATCCGGATACTCTCGAGTATATATCCGGATACATGCCAAGAATAGCCAAGCGCAGCCAAGACCTCTTTTTTCCAACGTCGTGAGATCTATATTGATGCTGTATAAAGTGATAATTATCCTCAGAATGAGCGACTCGTCGTTATCAGATATACCAACGGAGCCTGAGGGCTATAATAGCTATGATACTCATAATGAGCCAAGTCTGCCAACGCTGCCGCCCCCTATTCATATTCAACAGGATATTAATCCTACACCGCTCCGGCGTCAGCCTCCAGGACGAATGCTGCCACCAACGTCGTCGGTACTATTTACGAAGCTATTATATTCGCGATTGATACTTGATAGTAACCCACCTACAGTCAAAGTAACTTGCTTACAACCAGGCTGCGGATATTCACCTACTCCACAGCTATTAAGTCAGACTTCAACCGGTAATCTTTGGAAGCACTATACGCAGAAGCATCCAACAGTAGCATATACAATGAAAGGTCATACAATTACGCCGTCAAGCCCATCAAGTAGTGCATCGTCATTTTTGAGCCACGGCCGCGGAACCCGCAAGTCCAGCACGCTCAAGCTCAAGCATCAAATAGTAGAGCGAAATACCGAGAGTTATTACTCTCATTCGTTGTATCAAATAACCTCTCCTTACGACTTATTGAGAGCTATTCGTTCCATCAATTAGTACAGTTCTTAAGCCCAAGTACTCTATCGATATCGTCGCGAACACTACACCGAGAGCTACAGCGGCAATTCTCATATCACCGAGGATTGCTACAATTAGAACTCCAGGCTCATATTACCTATGGCGGCCGGATATCTATTACAACAGATGCATGGACTGCACGGAACTATACAGAGTACGCTGCTGTCACAGGCCATTGGATTAATGAGAAGTGGCAGCACCGGTGCGTATTACTTGATGTAATCCACCTTCAAGAGCCAATTCATAGCGGCGAATATCTCGCTCAAGAGTTAGCTGCAGTAACAGATAGCTTCGAAATTACAGGTGCTATATTTACTTGTACGCGGGATAATGCCTCAGCGAATACTGTGATGCTTTCAGAATATGAGAAAATAGCCAGTAAGCAGCAGACGACTATTCAACAGCCATGGACGTTTACTGTAAAGGAAGGGGACGTTCGGTGTATTGCTCATATTATCAATCTTGCAGTTCAAGCTACTCTAAAGAGCTTGAAAGCTAGCCCGGATACAGAAACAGAAGCGTACTGGTGTCAGCAAGGGCTTGCCCGGATTCCGCAGCGTATTGATAACTCTTCTACTGAAGTATCAGCTACGCTTGAGAAGCTCCGAAGGCATATTTATGTCTTTCGAAACCGAAGAGCATGGAAGGATGCTTTACAGAAGCAGATACAAGCTGCAGGCCAGAAGCCACGCCAGCTATCACTTGATATGCCTATACGCTGGAATTCAACGTACTATATGCTTGAAACAGCTATAAAGCTTCGAATACCAATTACTGCAGTATGCTCTACGCAGAAGCTTGATATCAGTATGAAGGATATTGCGTTAACAAGCAACGATTGGGCTATTATCGAAGCTCTTGAACGATTATTCTTAGTATTCTTAAAGCCGTCAAGACGGCTACAAAGCGATTCATATCCAACGCTCAACTTTACAATTCCTCTTTACTTAAAGATGATAAATAAGGTCACATTACTACAAGAAGAGCTTGGTAGAAGCTCTACGATCGGAGTAGCTTGTGGAGCTGCGCTTCAAAAGCTTAATGAGTATTATACTCTTACAACGAATCGGCAATGTAAGCACTCAGCTGTTGCTACAATTTGCGACCCACGAATGAATCATACAGTATTTAAGAAGATATATCCAAATGCTATAGACGATACACGAAGATTACGAGCAAGAGCGCAGTTCGAAGACGTTTGTAGAACGTACCAAAAGCGAGAGTATCACCTTGATACGGAGCGAATTACTCACGAAACAGCTCTTGCAGAAGCAATAGGTGCTACTGCTACAATAGATCAAGAACCTGATTCTGACGAAGATCTATTTGCGTCAGAAGGCTTGGCTTTTCAAGAGCCAGAATGGAGGCGCTGGATGCTTGAACCACGGCCCGGTGAGCATACTGATATTCTCAAATATTGGTGCGCAAAGCAATACCAATATCCAGTTATTGCCCGTATTGCTCGTGATCATCTAGCTATTCCAGCAACATCTGCAGCATCGGAACGAGTATTTAGTAATGGTAGTGATATTATTACAAAGAAGCGGAATAGGTTATCACCGCCAACTATTAGATATTTACTTTGCTTACGGAATTGGGGTAAAATACGGGAGGCTGATAGCGACGGCGATGATGCTGACGATGAAGCACCTGAATAGGGACTCGCAGAAAGGGGGGGTCTCACGGAAAGGGGGCTCGCGGAAAGGGGTTTACTACTATTATCAAAAGCTTCATTCTTTTTTATATACGCTATTCTATTTTTATATACAATATTCAGCCTCATGTATCCGGATATATACCCTACCCTACCCGTCAGATCGTCGCCGGGTATATACCCTACCCGTGAGCTTCACGGATACTACCCGGATATGTATCCGCCGAACACTGTTACTAACTCACCTTGATATTAGCAAATGACTCGTACCAAGCAAACTGCTAGGAGATCAACTGGCGGCATAGCACCAAGGATGCCACTTGGATTACGGGCTGGCTCTGGGCTTGGCGGAAAGGGACAGGAAAAGGCTGTGGGCACAGCAAGAAAAGCTCCAGTTTGCTCATCTCAAGCTAGCAACAATCATGCTCAGAAGGCCACGCGCTGCACAAAGTCTAGTAAGAGGATTACCAGAGGATTACCAGAGGATTACCAGAACTCTCTAATAAACATATAGGCACCAAGGCTCTCCGCGATATCAGAAGACAGAAAGGTCATGTACTCTTCCGAGTCAGGGTGCATCCGTATGCGATGGAAGGCTTGTCTAATATCTAGCTTCGTGAAGATTTTTGCTTTCGACACCCGTCCTAGTAGTTCGTCGATACGTGGGATGGGGTAGGGATTGTTCTGTGTGAGACCATTTAACTTCCGGTAATCGATGCAAAATCTTAATTTGCCATCCGCTTTCTTTATGAATAAGATAGGGGACACGAATGGGCTGTTGCTGTTGACGATGAAGCCTTTCTCTATGTTCTCTAACAGGTATTGCTTGGTAGCCTTAAGCTCTTCGGTGCCCTGTCGATATAATGGGGAGAAAGCGTTTAGTAAAGGGGCTTCGAGCTGTATCTTGTGGTCGTATATGCGGTGTGGGGGGATTCGATCTGATTCCAACTTCAAAAAGACATGGGTGTACTTCTGGTGCATATGCGGAAGCTTCTGCTGGATGAGGCAGAGCATTTCTTCGTCCTCTACCAACTCCTTTTCATGGATGATCTGGTCAATTTCGTAGATGCTAGTCTGAAAGAACTCGGAGTCGCTTTGCATCATCTCGTGATGGAAGGCATTGGCACTGATTTTGCATATCCATATGGGCGTGAAACTAGGTACCAGTTTCACTAGTAGTGGGGGAGAAACTTCTTGGTTTCGGGTAGGACTCGGTGGCATATCGGTGATCTCTTCATAGCCTGAAGTTATCACTTTCATATTCATCGAGCGTCTGCCTGCGCGGCATCTGTCTTCATGGTGGATTGCAGCATCCCTGCGATTCGCATCCAGCTGGTATGCGGCATGTCGAATAGACGTTTCTCGCATGTAGTAGGGCAAGGTGATCTCCTTGCTCCAGCTAGGAGTCAGCGGGTACTCCTTTGGCCATACTAACCGGTTCTTTGCAGAGTTGAGTAGTATTCGGAAGTGGCTGAAAAGCTTCTTCCCAATTATCACATCTTGTGCTCCGAGGTCCAGGAGTACAAAGGGGCAGTTATATATCCGGTGTCCTTCGACTGTTAAGTGTAACCAAATATACTCCGATACATGGCCTTGGATTTTGTGCTGAAATCCACGTATGGGTACAGAGTAGGGTAGTTTCCATATGGGACTCTGAAGCACTTTCGACAGTCGTATTGCAAAAGGCTTGTTAATGACGAGGTAGCCATTTGCTCCTGTGTCTGCTAGTTTGCACCCCGAGTCCATTCATACTCAGGGTCATGTCGACTAAGAACTGGGTACCTCCCAGGAGTTCTAGTAAGTCTAGTCCTCGCAGGTCACATTTGTGTAGACCTAGGAAGGAGCCTTCTCCTAGGCCTCATCGTTTTCCTCGAGGGACGCATCCCATTGAAGTTCCACGGCTTCCTCCCATTGTTCTTCTGCCTCAGGGTCGTTATGGTTGATTTCCTTGATAGTAGCATAAAAATGGCCAGGCTTGCCACACTTGAAACAGTTCCCTGAGGATGCTGGGACTGCGGTCTTCACACGCTCCAGCATCGTTGGCTTGGGGAGGAACGTGGCTCGGGTAAACAGAGCAGGTGTGGCTTGAGTCGGCTTCGACACCGACGCCTTTGTGTTACGACGGAACAAGAAGGCTGGCCAACTACAGGACAGGAAGGAGGGAGGTCGCATGAGACCGGCCCTGGTACCTGGAGGGGCAGCGGGGAATAGTAGTTCCGAAAGTATCACGTGACGGACTCGCAGGATGATGAGAAGAGTCCTAAGAGTCCAGGACTCCGAGGACTCGAGTGAGTTCCCAGGAGTCCACTAGGCACGTGATGGACTCGCAGGATGATGAGAAGAGTCCTAAGAGTCCAGGACTCCGAGGACTCGAGTGAGTTCCCAAGAGTCCACTAGGCACGACGCCACTATATAAGTAGATAGTATTTCCTTAGATAGGAGCTTCGTGCTCAACTCAATACAGTATTCGTTATATACTAGTAACGTGTTACTTGAAGCCTTTGTGTCTGATCCCCTGCCTCCTCTGATAAGTAAACCTTTACGCAAGAGAACCTCTGTGTCTTCTATCGTTTAGAAGTCAGCGTTACACTTTGCTGTATCCGTGGTACGTGTGGACATCCTTGCAGGGGCGGGTAGCGGATTCAATTCCTTGTTCTGGCACAGTTCCTGGTCGAAGGCAGTAAGTTCTCGTACCATGGTGTGGTAGTCTCCATTCCATTGGTTTTTGATGATCGCGACGCGGCTGCAGAATTGGGGAGTCAACTTGTTCCACATGTACCCAGCTAAAAATTGGCGGGGGCATTTTGAAGGTCAATTCTGGGAGCTATATACTAAACATTACGCCAACCAATAACGATCAAGGCAATACCAAGACCAAAATAGCGAACTTGATATAGACCCAATGGCTTTATTATTAAACTGGAAACGAAGTTATAATGTAACGCTGACTTCTAAACAATAGAAGACACAGAGGTTTCTTAGGTTGACTTGACAGAGGAGGCAGGGGATTAGACACAAAGGTTTTCCAAGTAACACGTTACAGTATTGTAAAGAATACTATATTGAGTTGAGCACGAAGCTCCTATCTAAGGAAATACTATCTACTTATATAGTGGCATCGTGCCTCATGGGTAATCTGGATAGTTGGCGGATAGCTAGATATTCAGGATAGTTCGTGGATAGCTCAACTATCCAATATCCACTAGTTTCTGCAACTATCCATTAGCCCCATCACATGGCAGCCTACCCCGCTTGCCCCCTGTGACTCACACATCACATTACTAGGCCCTGGCCCTGTAACCATGACATCATGTTACTGTAGCCGTAACATATAACTCTTGGAATTAAAATACCGATCAGGTAGGAGAGATAGTGCAGTACCTTGCCCTCCATAAGTTTATAGTAATAATTATAGTAATTACCACTAACTATTATTAGCAGCCTCCAATCAACCACCATTACTATGGTGGAAATATAACGAAGGACAATTTCCTGGCCTTGCAGCTATGGCCCGGGATATACTTTGTATTCCAGCTTCAGAAGCTCTTGTTGAGCGAGTCTTTAGCACTGCCCGGACAGTGTGTAATTACAAGCGGAACCGAATGGCTCCTGAAACAATACGGTCAATTATGCTTGTTTATTACTGACAGAAAGAGCGGCAATTTGAACACTATTCAGTGTTACGGCTAAGTGCTAGTGCTATGGCTAGCGCTTACGGCTGCAACCTCACGTGATGGATAACATTGGATATCATGGATATTATGTTATCCATGTTATCCACAGCGATCCACGGAATGTCATGTGATGGATAACATTGGATATCTTGGATATTATGTTATCCATGTTATCCACGGGGATCCACGGAATAACATTAGATATCATGGATATTATGTTATCCATGTTATCCACGGATATCCCTTTGGCACGACGCCACTATATAAGTAGATAGTATTTCCTTAGATAGGAGCTTCATGCTCAACTCAATATAGTATTCTTTACAATACTGTAACGTGATACTTGGAAAGCCTTTGTGTCTAATCCCCTGCCTCCTCTGTCAAGTCAACCTTACGCAAGAAACCTCTGTGTCTTCTATCGTTTAGAAGTCAGCGTTACATTCAGTAACTGATATTATTGATTCTACTAATATGACTGAAGAGGAAATAGGGTTAGAGTATAACGGTATGGTTGAGGCTATTCAAGACAAGATGGCAATACAGTATATTCCTGATCGAAGCTCTAATATGCCAAATACTCATAACCAGACACAGCGGAATGAGGAACGTTTTGCATTTATACATAGGGTCCAGCAAACACAACGCCAACACCAGAGTCAAGCTATTACATTTACATTTGATACAAACTACCAAGAGTTAGATGATGAGGTAGCAGGGCTACCACCAAGTCAAAACGATGGTGATTATCAATTACCTTCACTGACAAGACCATCTTCTATTGCAAAGAGGCCACAGAATAATAATGGGGCTCAAATTCTTCAAAGAGAAATAGTCCCATCAGTTGAATCAAGCCAATTCCGTAACACGTCACGGTCAGGTCGCGAAATTCAGGAGTCATGGCGTAATGTAGATATATAGTAACAATTATAGCAATTGCTAACTACCAACCTATCTGTCTAAATTACTTGTAAAATATCCACTTGAAATGTTAAGGCGCAAATATCACCACACGTGATTTATAGGCATGTTAAACCCCGTGACCGGTCTGCCAAGAAACTGGTGGGGGACCGTAGGTTTGGAGGCTTCAGACCAGACCAGACCGCGGTCTGAGAATTTGGGACCGACCAGACCAAGGTCTGGTCTGGTCCAGGGGAACCGGTAGTCCAGGTCCCCCATGACGCACCCTACACTTGCGTGAACTGTATCGCCAACGCTAAGAGTATCTCTAGGGTCTAGAGCTAAGTAAAGAAGTGGTGGAAGGCGAACACTTTCACTTGCGCGGCGTTAACTGGCTTGTTTAGCCTCTAGATTTCGTTCTGTAAACAGTGTTGTCAATAGTATATGGTTTCTTGGCAATATGCCACAGTAATTACTAGCAATACGGTTCTTGGCAATATCTTGGCATACTGTGACAATATAATATACTACCAAGCCATATGGTGACAATATGATACGGCCTCTTCATACCGACAATATATTGCCAAGACTAAACAATAAAAGTCTGTGCTTACATGTAACTTAGTAATAGCCCTTTTTCATGGATTGTTTGATACTTAGACTAAGCAGAAGGCTGCCAATTACCACATAAACCTCTGCACTCTCCCTAGCTCACTCGCCCACTCAAACTCCTTCCCTAAAAACACAACACATGTTCCAACATTCACTACAAGAAACCACAGCGTCTCCGCCCATAATCTAGTCCTCTCCACACTCATACCTACGAGCGAACCATGGCTAGGCCGCACATGCAGCCGCCATATCACCCACGGAAGAATAAAGTACCGTGGCTCGACAAGGGGGGCAGTAATTAGTGACAGGGCTGTGGTAAGGAGCCAGATGAGCGCAAACGATGTCTTCGTCTCTGCTGCTCGATTTCTCCCTTCCTGTTGCATTGCCGAACGGGATAGTTTCCCGCGTCGTGATGTTTCTTGTGCATTTGTAGCAGTACCGGAGGAAACTGGCTGGTGCCTACGGAGCGCACGGAGCACGAACCACCCGCAGAGGACGTATATCGGTGCGAGCGCGTATTTTATTAGTGGGTGGCGCAGGATCGTGTACCGGAAGACGTAGAACATGTAGTGCCGGTTGTCGGCGAGGGTAAAAGGATGGATAAGCGTGTTGAAGTGGACGATGCCGAGGCTGAGCGTGATGGCGAGGAGGGCCCAGGCGAGAGTGCTGGCTCTAGGGAGGGTCGGAGAGAGGGCGGAGATGATGGTAGGTAGAAATAGGGGAAAGGAGAAGAAGGCTATGAAAGGCCAAAGGTAGAGCATTTGTGTTAGATGGAGGGTTGCAACGTGGTTTGATTTGTCGCCTAGTTCTGTCAGACTTGGAGTTGAAAGAAGTGGATGGGGAGTACCTAATACGACGCCACCGTTCCAGACGACAAAGGCCCCGAAAGAAAGGAGGAGTGCGATCTGAGGCCATAGCCGAGAAATTAGAATTATTGGGTGGCTTACGGCTGATATGCCGATGCTAATGAGGCAGTAGAGAAAATCTGCTCCGTTAGTCACATTCTCACATTGTGGATAGTGGACTTACCCAAAGGACCGGCTTCCTCGATCGACGGATCATGCAGTTCGCCACGCGTATACGGGCCGAGCACCATTTCTATCAAGCTTGCGTCTTTCCCTTGCCCTGCCCGAGTTTGCCCTTTTCCTACCATATCCGTACAAGCTCTAATCCACTCCATCCCTGCTAGAAAGACGCCCACCCAGAAAACATTCGTTTGGCGCATCACCAATCCTACAACGCCTAACCCATAAGCCAGCAGCCCCTCTCCCATAGATGCACCGCCTGCGCCCCGCTGGAATGCAAGATACGCTACCACAATCACAAGTGTAGACAGCACGTCTGTATAATACAGCCCTGAAAAAAAGAACAGCGGCGGGAACAGACACACATTCAACGCCTCATGGGCGACTTCCCACGACCGATCCACACGCTTTCCATCGCCACTTAATGACCTCCGCAGAAAATAGCACACCACCAATAACGCCGCAAGCGCCACACCGCCGATTCCACGTAACTCCGTGGCCGTGCATCCCGCGCGCGTCGCCGCCTTCAGCAGCAGCGAAAATGCGTACAGGCCCGGCGGCGTGGTAAGCTTTGGGTCCCAGGTGTAGAAATCAGATGCACAGTACTGCTGCGCCTGGGGGATGTGGAATACCTCGTCCTATGATAGTCAGCACGTGTTTCAGTGGAGTATGGGCGAGTCGGTTGTATAGTACCATGTAAGGAGACGGGACATTGCTGTTGACTGCGCGGAGCCATGCTGTACTCAGCACACCCAAGAAACCCCCCGTGAGAGTTAGGGACAGGAGTGCTTTTGCCATGGCGATACTGGTGTCGTGGTTATTGGGCGGCACGTCCCTTGAAGCCATGTTCGGTGCACGGACGCTGTTGTGTTGGATTTAGTCACGTGATTTAAATCAGACAGCGATGCAAATAATCGTGGGTCGAATAACCCACCGCGTAGCGGTGGGTTATTCGAGTTGCATCGCCCCAGATTTCTCAACCACCCAATTTGTATTGCAATTGAACCTTGAACAATGCCACCACCTGCAACCCACGAATACGAAGAGGCTATAGCCCAGGCAATTGCCTGGGCTACTGCCAATCCTGACGAGAGTGAGACTACCGCCGCACGTATTTTCCACGTGAATCCTCAAACCCTCAAATCGAGGATACGACGAAAGAAGCAACGCGACGACCGCCCTCATATAATACACGGAGGCCAGAATCGAATCCTCTCTAGGCCACAACACGAAGCTATTATTACATATGCAGACGATATGCACAGGACAGGCCTCGGGGCTACAAAACAGATGGTCTTTGCGATAATCGAATACCTAAAGGATCTAGAAGGCAGACCGCGACCGTCCTGGCGATGGTTTCAAAACTACATAAAAACAACCCCGGGTTTTCTTCATACACTAAAAACAAAGCCAATTGCACGAAACCGAGTCGGTGCACAAGATGTTAAGGATGTACAGGATTGGTTCAAGAATTGGATGACTTGGTGCGAAGCCCATGATATTCAGCCTGGTGATATTATCAATTTTGATGAAGCTGGGTTTCAAATTGGAGTAGCTTCTGGAGAAGATATTCTTGTCCCTACCTGGATAGTAGATGTATGTATATTCCAGTTATAATATAAAATATAGTATAGCTAATAAAGTATAGCCATTGTATACACCTAGCCCTGAAAATCGACGTTCTATTACCGTTATAGAATCGATTATTGCAAATGGAACAACTATTCCTCCTGTTCTAATTGTACAAGGTGTGAATCATATGACGAATTGGTATACCTTATTAGACGGAATACAAGGGTATTAATGTCTGATTCCGGATATATCAACTCCCATTTAGCTCTTGAATATCTTGATCACTTGATTCTTCATATACAAGCTGGGGCAAATGCTCGTCCTAGGGTTCTATTAATGGATCAACACGGTAGTCATATGACCCCGGAGTTTATTATTAAAGCTACAGAAGCTAATATACACCTGTTTCCTTTTCCTAGCCACTTGACGCATGTTCTTCAACCTCTTGATGTCGGTGTTTTTCAGCTGTATAAACACTGGCACTGGAAGGCTGTACAAGATGCAACCTGGCATCTAGATATTGAATATACAGTTTCATCGTTCTTCCGGGACTTAACGGAAATCAGGGAAAAGACTATGAAAAAAGAGACTATTTAAGGTGCCTTCCGAAAGTCTGGGATCTGGCCATTAATTGCCAGAAATGTCATACTGACATTCGTTGCACTCAGTTTGCTATCAAACTCAAGAGCAAACTTGGAAATCTCCTCCTCAAACCTACAAGTCACTATACATATTTTGGCTTATCACACCAACAACAAGAGCAATACTACTCAACGATTGCTACAACCATCTATGATTCATTACACGTCATCGCTCCTTAGTTACTGGGCCAGTATTACCACATAGCATATCTCTACAACCCTCTATGATTCATTACATGACATCACTCATACCACATATGACATATCTCTACCAACTAGAGGCCTAGGAGCATGAACGATAGCTCTAAAAGCTCCTACGAACCTCTATGATTCATTACACGTCATCGCTCTTTAGTTACCCACAAGATTGGTTAAGTTATGACATAATTTGTCTATGACATAATTTGTCTATGACATAATTTGTCTATAGGGGTACTCTGACCTTGGACCTCCTTTTACTTCCTATAGGCTACGAACCTAAGAGATGGTTCTATGGGATTCTCTTACATCGACTACAGTTACCAAGCCTGGTTAGTCATGGAAAGTCTTGGAAAATGAGAGAACTACACTCCTTTAGCATAAATAGGATTGCCCTTTCCTTACGAAAGGGCAAGCAGACAATTGTAACACTGACTTCTAAACGATAGAAGACACAGAGGTTCTCTTGCGTAAAGGTTTACTTATCAGAGGAGGCAGGGGATCAGACACAAAGGCTTCAAGTAACATGTTACTAGTATATAACAAATACTGTATTGAGTTGAGCACGAAGCTCCTATCTAAGGAAATACTATCTACTTATATAGTGGCGTCGTGCCTAGTGGACTCCTGGGAACTCACTCGAGTCCTCGGAGTCCTGGACTCTTAGGATTCTTCTCATCATCCTGCGAGTCTGTCACGTGCCTAGTGGACTCCTGGGAACTCACTCGAGTCCTCGGAGTCCTGGACTCTTAGGACTCTTCTCATCATCCTGCGAGTCCGTCACGTGATACTTTCGGAACTACTATTCCCCGCTGCCCCTCCAGGTACCAGGGCCAGTCTCATGCGACCTCCCTCCTTCCTGTCCTGTAGTTGGCCAGCCTTCTTGTTCCGTCGTAACAACAATACAGTAAATCGACTATCACATACTTCCACGTCTTTTACAAGCTTCCAAGCATTCATCTTGTTACTCCTTGTTTCTGAAAAGTCAGTGCGGTGTTAACCTCTGACTTACCCCTGAGTTCCCAGACTCAACATTTGTTGCAACTTGTCTGAACCACTTCACTACATCACACACCTGATTGCTGCATTGTGGAATAGTCTAAGCTATGACCCTTTGGCTCTGTTTTCTAAGACAGTGTGTTGTCTTAGTAAATTCATCCCTTCCTTGGGTGGCTAGATTCTCACATCTGGTGCACCCACCATTACAAGAAAGCTCTTAAGAAAATGAAGACGTATATGGTACCAGCGATGGTGATGGCAATGGCAATGGCAATGGCGACAGCGATTGAATTACCCTGTCCTCAAACACCAGATAGAGGTGTTCAAGCTGAGAGATCTCTTCAAGAAATAGCATCAAAAATCTCAGAGAAGATTGATATATTTAGTAGTCCTACACGCCGGAAAATTGACTCTACAATACGAGGGGTCCAGAACGTCCTTCTGACTGCAGAAGTCCGGGACCGGCAGTATGAAGACCTTCATAATAGGGCTCAAAATCAACAGAAGTCTTAGGATTCGAGGGAATCGGAGGTCTTACAAAAAGGAGGGGTCCTTACAGGAACTCAGGCACGACAGATCCAGGAAAACAAGCATGAAAAGGAGCAGGTTGATAGGATCAAAAGACGACAATATCTTATCCGAATTACAACAAATAAGATTAAGAAGAAGTATCATATCCAAGGGGTTGATGCACGGAAATCAGAGAAGGAACGTCAAAGGACAATTCTAAACTTCAAATGGAGGAAAGAAGCTATTCCTATTGAGCTATTCAATCCAATCCCGGACCCAGAAAAGCTTATAACCGATAAAGAGATTGATATACAGGTTAAGGAAGCTCTTATATCCCTCCCAGAATTTAATGGGGTCTCATTTGAATACGAGGAACTAGGTGCAATTGGTGTCATTGATCCAGGACTTCAGGAATTTACGTCGCAACAGGATTTCATATCATTCGAAGGCACAAATATATGGGGCCGTGATTCAATTGCGTCAGAAGACGAAGAAGATGAAGATTCAATTCAAGAAGCGTTTTCATACTTGTAGTGGTAAAATATTTCCCATAGTCCACGATTCAATTGCAATACAAATTGGGTGGTTGAGAAATCTGGGGCGGTGCAACTCGCTTTCGCGATGCAACTCGCTTGCGCCCATCGCGTAGCGGTGGGTTATTCGACCCACGATTAATATTTCTTTCTTATTTTCCTGCAAATTAATATCATATAGAATATGGGGATATGATTGAGTTATTAGTAGTAGCCGTGGATACTTTTCAATGCTAGTCATAAATCATCAGCATCATCACTGTCATCACTATCCTTCGTATCGGCACCCCCCTTCTTCCCTGCCTCCTCTATCCTTTTCTCCGCAGCCGCCTGTGCAGTCATGACAGCAACCTCTGCGTCTTCAAGCCTCTTCCTCGTCTTGCGCTCGTCTTCCTCCTTCTTCCTCTTTCGCTCGTCTATCGTATCTTTAGCCCACTTCGCCGCCTCCCGCGCCGCAATTTCGGGGCTTCTCTTGTGCTTTAATAGATATCCCTGAACGTCAGCCGGACTGAAGATGCCTTCTGGCATTGCCAGCGTGAATGACTCTGCAAGAACTGCTATTTTCTTGGCCTCAAGTTTTCGGCGCTCTTCATCCTCATTTATTTTTTGATCGGCAGCATTAGATGTGTCTACACCACTTGACTTCGCATGCCCGGTTTGAAGGTTAGCGCTATTCAAAGGCAGAGCACCATTCCCATTAGAATCAAGCAGTGCGATTTTCTTCTGTGGGAAGTCGCCTTCTAGCGTCGTGAAAATACTCGTGAACAGCATCCTCATCATCGCCGCATCGGATAGCTGGAACTTAATTGTCATGTCCACCCTGCCAGGCCTGATAAGGGCCTCATCCAGCTTATCAATGTGATTAGTCGTCATGATCAGAATACGGCCCTCCTGGCTGGATACGCCATCAAGGACATTTAATAGAGCAGAGAGACTGATCCTGCCTGCCGGCGGAGTTCCGACGACAAGTGAGGGCGGCTGCGATGGATCTTTCTGGACTTTCTTGACCGCCATTGCTGCAGCTGCATCTTCAGAAGCTTCACTGTTCCTTGCGTTCGTCAAGCCAGCTGTATCAATATCCTCGAGCAACACGACGCAACGCTGCGGGAGCTCGGAGAACAGCGTCCCAAGGCTCTCTTCGTTCATCGATGGCGAGTTGAGGCTGACAATGTAGATCTTAAGCTTGAAGTATCCTGCGATCGCGAGACTTAGAGAGGATTTGCCTGTTCCTGGTGCGCCATACAACAGGTAACCCCGACGGTATGGGATTCCGCGATTCCAGTACCAGCGTTGCGTGTGCGGGTGTAGGTAGTCTCGCATGTCTGCCAGCAGGTCCGTCTTGACCGATTCGTCCATAACCATTGTTGACATGGGACGAGTCACTCTCGCTGTGCTGCGCACCCAAGTCGTCTCCGACATGGTTCCCGGCTTGTTGCCCCCGCGAAATATGACGGTCTTATCTTCATCAGAATTGAGGAACAGCTTGCGGCACTCGTTCAGCAGCTCCTTCAGCTTAGTCGGGTCGCGCCCGAAGCTTGAGATCGAGATCTCCTCACGCTCCGAGATAGGGCCATAGCGCTGGTGTGGGGCGCTACGGCGGAATACCATGAGCCTTCCCTTATACCAGAAAATGTGCGTTCCGAGGCCGGGTGTATATTGCAATTTTCTGTGCTTTCGCTTCTCTATTGGGATGCCGTTCTCGTCGATTTCATCCACGCCCTCTCCCTCGCGCTCATTATCACGGCTCTCAACCCACATGAACCAGCTGCGAGAGTTTACATTCGTGCTCGCGATGAACCGGCGATTGGCCTGTGAGAACTTCTGCTGCGTCACCCATCCCATAACGTAATTGTACATCTCGTCGTCGATGCGGATATCGGCCGTAGACATCAGGTAGTGTTGCAGGCTGGACCAGAGGTGCTCAGAGACATAATTCGAGGCGTAGATAACAACGCCGCAGATGACGATGAAAGGGAGGTAAAAGGATATATCGATCTGCAGGTATTTAGACAGGCCAGCAGAGACCGTGGAGAAGCCAGGGAAGAAGACATCGAGGATGGCGAGCTGATTCACTGGAGGCAGGAGGTTGTCGTCGCCGGAGGCGTTTGCGAATGCAGTGGGGATTGACATTACGAATAATCGGCGGGGTCGTTGTCCCAGGCTTCAGTTTATTCGGAGAAGCACACGACCAACAGGGACACGTTCATCAGGGACTTCTCTTTAAAAATGAAGTGAAAAGAAAGAAAGGGAAAATGGATGAAGGAAAGCTGAGGGGAGTATTTATACTTACTGCTGTCACGTTACTAGCTAGCAGGCTGACGATAGGATGGCATCGCAAGCAAGAAGACAAGAGCAGGCTTGCATCTCTGTCGCAGCTGCAAGGCAACAACCAGAGACATGTCACTCGTACCCATGTATACAGCCAGCCAGCTAGAGCAAAGAGCTTGCATAATCCGTAATCCGGTGAGCAGCACCCTGATGAACGGTGACTCAGCACCAAGATATGTCCTCGTCCAATAATCCCATCTCGACTGGTACAGACGCCTGCTACAGACACCCGAAAGGGGTCGCCGCTGGAGAGATTGGGTACAACGGCGAGGCTGACTGGGTCTCATAGCCGCGGCCTGCCGAATCGGCGATTCCTACTGTCAGCTATGGATCTCATAGGGCTGTAAAGGGACGGGCGGCGAGTCCGTGTGCAGGCGAATGGAATGAATGCTGGTGTTGCAACGGGCAGGGGGCTGTGCATGGGGACGTCCCGAAATATTCTCAAATAATCAAACCCAAAAGTCAGTCATCAATCACCAGCTTCAACAGGAACAGCACAAAAACACGGATAATATCAGGTACACCACTGAGGCATAAATGTGGCCATTAATTTCGTTGCAGTCTTCATCAGCATGATCATCTATACTGTATGCACCACATCCAACAACCAACAGGTCCCGCCCCACGATTGCGCCCCACTGTCCCTCAAGACCTTCCAAACCCAAACCACCCCTTCTTAGCCTCCTGCCTCTCCTCTCCCCGCGAGCTAGGTATCTCTTCCTCAGCTACCTGTGCTGTCGCCTGCGGGCTGCGCCCTGGATACTCGATATAATTCCACGCCACATCGAAGAACAGTGGCTTCACCGGCACCGCCTCCAGTTTCGTCGGGTAGGATACCAGATTGCTCAGATCAACATCACCGCTGGTCGGATAGTGCTCCAATGTCTCCACCAATGGCAAAGAGGGTGGAAGCTTGGCGACAGTGCCGCTGACTGTGGTTATCTCGACGAGTGCGCGGTGGCGCTGGAGTTCGGCGTTTAAGGTTTTTGCGAGGAAGGACACCGATGCAGGGGAGATTGCGAGAGTTGGGGGCGCGGTGGGTGAGGGTGCTGCTGCGGCGGAGAGGTGGGGTAGGGATGGGGTAAGAAGAGCGGTTGCGCGGGCTAGAAGGCTAAGGGCTTCCACATATGAGGAGAGAACGGAGTGTGATCGGGCGATGGCGAGGCACCTAGAAAAATTAGTTAACCTTGCTCAATAGGAACTATACAAAAGTGACGATGATATACTTTAGGGCGCGGAAGTAGTTGTACTTGGCTTCTAGCTCCCCCAGGAACTCCGTGTCGGAAGACACTCCCGGCAACTCCTTGATGGAATCCAAGCTCTGAAGAGTTGAATCGTAGAGTACGACTCGCTCTCGTAACTTTGCTAATTTGCGACCGGTGCCCTCCTCCTTGTCGACTGTCACCTCATCTGCCTGTTTGGATTTTCGAGACTTTGCAATTGGCGCGCTATCTGGTAATGCACCGTCGTGGTCGCCCGTGAGGACTCGGTTCCGGCCTATGCGCCAGCTGATCAAATCGTACCCAATGGCAGTTCTGGTAATCTGGAGGCTCTGTATCCGCTTATCGCCCTGCGAGATGCCTTCCGCGACCAACTCGTCGATAGAGTGTTTTGTTGCATCAACCGCATCCTGGCTCGCAATGAGGATGTCGTCATACGCCGATGCGCGCTCTCTAGGGTGTGAAGTAGAGGTCGAAGATAGTGTCTCGCTCAGATTCTTAGCTGCTGTCGTAACTGCTGATAGGGCCACGGCAATAGATGCGTCTTCCAAGTCCACGGTCCGTGACCTCCAGGTGATTGTCCTCGACGCTGCATCACTCTCTACCAGCTCGGGCTTAGCCTTTGACGTATCCTTCAAGATTATGGGATCCAGTTTCTCCACCGCCTTGACAAGGGGTTGATCATCCATGGGGAAGAATTTCCGCACAATTACTGGGATTGCCATCGTCCGAGCAAGCTTCAACTGATATGCCCCATAACGTATGCTCGGCTCAACGGTAGATGTAACCAAGCCCTTAAATATGTCGCTTTTCGTAGACGAAGTGAGAGCGGTATATATGGCCCAGACAATGGAGTAATCCGTGACGCAAGCTTGCCAGCTTTGCTTCTCGAATTGCTCGGCGCCAGCAAGAGCCGTGGCATATGCGCGTGCCTCAAGAAGATCCGTTTCCGTCGCGCCAGACACCAACCGATCTGACAGCGCCTCCAGCACACCCTCTTGAACTTTATAAGCCTTGTGAAGCCGCGAAATAATGTGAGATCGAGCGGCGCCTGTGATGCCTTTGGCGTCGGACGAATGAGTGGACTTCATGTACATCGCATGAGCCCAGGCACGCTCCGACGTGAGGAGCTGGATACAAAGATACCTGCCAGAGTTAGTAAAACAACCTCCAATTATTCAACTGCACATACTCGTGGTTCCTGGCAATATCTTCAGCTGCCACAGCTGGCCGTTTCGCATATTTGGCTCCCTTTCTCGTCGCTAGCCCCAATTTCTTGCGTGTAGAGCGCAGTTTTCTTGATAACTGGGCGCGGTAAGTGCTGTAATCACCGTAAATAAGCGCCTCATCACGTCCGGTGACGATGAATTTAGTTATGTCCATGGTTCTGTTTACTTCTCCGAGGCCACATGGTGGGGTTGACAGGTGAGGTTTCTTGGTGGGAATATCAAGCTTACATAAGCAGCTAGATAGCTTCGTCTGGGGTGGGTCTGGATGGGTGAATCGGCAAAATAATAATTCCGCACCCTTGTCGTGGTTATTTCTGATATCCTCAACGCAGTCGGGCCAAAACCATCGTTACGCTCCCGCACTGTATTAAATATCACCCACCAACCATCTTACTATTGCTCGATTTGTTGTTCTGTATTCGCATTTAGTGCCTTCGCGGCCTCGACAAGCTTCGAAAACGCACGAGACAAACCGAGCTCCGCGGCATGCAGAACTTTGTCTAAAGCCGAGAAGCATGTTATTGTGTAAACTGCCACACAGTGTGATCGTGGAACCCTGCTAATGGATACTGCTAGATTTTAGTTTGACGTGTTCTCTTGTATTATAGACTATTTCGACGACGTTTCCAGTGCGCGGCACGATACACTGTTGGGCTTGGGGCATGCTGGAGCGTACGGCGGGATGTCTCGAACTCGGCAGCGTGCGACGATTCGTGCCCGGATGTAAGTCGATGAAGAGTCGCCGGATGCTGCATTCTGCGTTCTGGAACCATGGTGCAATGGAACTGGAGCTGTCTCCTTTATGGCAAGTATTGATCCAGGGAACTGCACACAACGACAGACCCATAGAAACGAACGAACACGATAATTCTGGAGGAATGATGCTCGATTTTCTCTATCCATCTGGTGCCTTGAATCTCATCGGACAATACTCGCCGTGGACACCGGATAGGACTGACTTCAGGAGGACGATGGGCCTTGGCAGGATTGGGCAAAGACACTATACATCGGCAGCGGGCGATGGTTCTGTGACAATGTCGAGGCGCGCCGAGGAAGTTGGATGTCAATATGAAGTCAAGTCAATGGAACACCGTGTGGATTGGGAGGTGCAGCATTTGAAGAGCGATGGGACTGGACAAACATCGGCTTTTCTACGGTCAATAAGCGAATCGACGCGCACGAACGATTATGAAGAAGCGTGGAGGCAATTTGGGCAGCTAAACTCCGACAACAAGCTGGCGCTTGCGCCACGGCTTCTCAGTTATCTCATCAGCTCAAATCGACCGATCGATGCGGACCGGATAGTTTCGGTTTTCGATACCATCAGAGACCAAGCCGGGCATAGCAGTTACGAAGCATTGGTAAATGCCCATGTGGTTCTTCGAAACTATGAGGATGCCGCCAATGTGCATTCGGAATCTCTAGCTACCTTTCGAAAACCAACGTCGTCGGATAGGCTACTTGGCCTGCTCATTCAATACGGTCGATGGGACATGGCATTTGATGCTTGGAAGACTGTCAAGGACCTGGGGACTGCAAGCCCCAGAAACGGTCATGATATATGGGCACGTGTGGTTTATTTGCCGAATCTCAACGAGAAAGTGCTGCAGATGGTGTCAGGCTTAACCAGTCATTTGTCTGATACACCTGATTTGGATATCTCTCGGGAATTGCCAGTTGATAAAGTTACTTTCATCACCGAAGCACTGTCAATAGCTCTTTTTCCACAGGACGACTTCTCGGAAGCAAACTTCCTGTCGGTTTTTTCTCGGCTTGAAAGCCTGGGATTAGCCACAGAATCAATTTACCAAAACACGATACTCAAGCTTTTGAAGATGGACCGCACGAAGATGGTTGTCCGTCTATACCGGAAATTCCGACAGACAGGTGGCATACCCACGACCCGTATCCTCGACGCTATCCTGAAGATTTTCTGTAAATATAAGAGCAACATGGGGATACATCAAATTCTGGAGGATTGGGTACGACATTTCGATAAGCCGTCCTCTCCTGCGTATAGGATGGTAATGACAGCATTTGCCTCGCAAGGAAATGTCGAGGCTGTCAAAGGATTGTGGAAAAAGTACCTCGAGCGGCAAACGTATGGGCGGATTCGGAACGCAGACGATCTTCTACCTTTAATGCATGTTCATGCCAAGCGGGGGGAGGTGGATGAAGTCGTCAACATTTTCGAAAGCATGGAGGCCGAATATAAAGTCGTTCCGAACATCAAACATTCGAACATTCTTTTGAACGTTTATGGGAAAGCTCATGCTGTTGATAAGGCTTTCGAGCATTATAATAAGCTACTTGACTCCGATGTTCACCCCGATAAGATCACGATTGGAACGATGATGGGAATTTGCACACAGCGTGGCGACGCTATAGCAGCGCGCGAACTCTATAATTCTGCTGCAGGCTTGGGAATCCGTCCGAATATCGTCATGGTTGATTGCTTGGTCCTCGGAGATATCCAGAATGGTAACATTAATAAAGCCGAAGAGACATGCATGAAAGCACTGACGATGGCACTGGATGGCCCAAAAACAAGAATGTGGAACTACTTGCTGGTTGCCTACGCCATGGGGCGTGATCTTGAGAATGTTTCTCGGGTACATCGGATCATGGAATCTTCAAACGTCTCACCCGACACTTACACCTACTCTGCACTGATGCAGGCTTTGGCTGTTGCAGGCCAGCCGAGTCGCGCTTGGAAGATCTTGACCGAGGCGATGCCTGAAGCCGGTATACAAGCCACCGAGTTTCATTATGCGGTTGTTATGGGTGGTTTTATTGCTACGAAAGAGCTAGACATGGTATTTCACGTCAGAGACCATATGCTAAGCCGGCCTGAAGGCCTGAAGCCAGCCGTGTCCTCCAACATCCAGACCCTGAAGGCCGCCGTCATGGATGATTCACGCCGCATACAATCGGGCGATGCCGACACGGACTTTGCAAAGGCAGAAGATTATTTCTTCCAGTTCTTGATGAATGCCGACAGGCAAGAACTAGCGAGCAACCCAAGAAAAGGTATGGGTCATGAGCCGCTCGATGTTGCATACTCGGCGGCATACTTCGACTTTTATATGTTCGTCTGTGGCCAACACAAAGCATTCGATCGAGTTAAGCGGCTTTACGACAATTTTTTGCAGCGGCTACCTGAAGACCGTCGATCCCAGCCTCCTATCCGGATATTGAACGCTTTGATGGTATCTAGGTTAAAGGAGAATGACCATGACGGTGTGCAAGAAGCGTGGGAGTTTGCTTTGATGCGTGCCAAGGAAAGAGGAAAGCCAATATCGGGGAACAATTTGCTTTTATATTCACATCGCCTTTCGCTATGCCGCCCTCTGTCAACTCTAATCAAATCGCTGGCAGCGCAGAACAAGCTCACGCAGCTGAAAGAGACGATCGCCGATATTCGAGCTTTCGGGTTCGAACTGGACTCCAACAACTGGAACCTGTACGTCCAAGCCCTTACCAAGGCATACAAGTACCAGGAAGCATTCGGCGTATGCGAAAAACGTCTCATGCCGGGGTGGCTTGGATGGGCAATGATTCGCCAAGTAGAGCCACGCCGGAACCGCTTGTCGCTCAAGGACCGCGCCCGAAAAAGAGATCCAACTTATCTCCGGCCCATCTACCATACAATTCTTATGTTATCGAGGGCCTACCTAGATATGGAGGGCTCATATTCAGCAGCTGGGCAGGCTTACCATGTACTGAAATATGTAGACCAACATTGCCCGCTGACCCTAAACGCGATCCAAACGATGCGCAGGACCGAGGACGAATTGGAGAAGAAGATGCTGGGAACAACACAAGGATGATAATTATGTATTTTATATAAACTTATATGTATTTATAGTGTATCAATAAACACCTAACGAATTTCTGGTGTTGTGACATCATGTATTATACCATCTGAGGCATGTTCTATTCCCTGGCTGTATAGTCTTTGGACGGCTCTTTGCTTCTGAGCTTGTGACTACCTTTGCAGTAATAACTCCCATTGCGAAACCTGCTTCATCAAAGTTGTAGATATCCTGCTCTAAGATGCCGTATTTTGCAACTATATTTCGTACGAGAGAGAACCACCCTTGAATTATCCTAGGATCTTCGAATTTTGCTCATTTATAATCGTAGTTCCGACTGAATTTTGCTTTGATTTCCGTACGACGCTTTATGAAAGTAGTAGCCCAGTTCTTCCCAACAGGGGTCTCGCCTCGTTCGGAGAGTATGAGATCAGCCATTTCTTGCACACCTTGTGGCCGGGGTGGAAATCCACGTGAATCTAAGTCAAGAATATACTGAACAAGAGCTGATTCTTCGTATTTTCGTGAGTTAGGGGTAGAGTCGCGTTGAGAAGTAACACCGTTAAGTCTTGCACGTAGCGACTCAAATGGGACGTCGTACGACATTGTAGCAGCTCGAATACTCTTAATATTGCCTTCTTTAAGTGCTTTAATAGCAAGAATAATTCTACCCTCTTGATTAGAGAATTGGGCTTGTGTTGGTTGTGGCATGTTAACAGTTGTTAAAGTTGACGCGTTTTGGTGTTTTGGTGACCCGCTCGCCCGTGAAATACGTTAGATTTAAATAAATTTATAATAAGTTAACTTAACTTATTAGCTAAACAGAATTAATAAAAACAGGATATATAGCCCTAGCCTATGAAAATATGATGCTAAAATGCTTTACTCCCTACGTATACAGGAATATATATAATAAAAGCATGTACTATATATTAATATGTACCATATGTTACTCCTCTTCATGAGTTACAATTACTATAAAAGTTATAAAAAGGGGCAATAAACGTGACCGGTCAATGCCGCCAAGGCTGGGGCGGAGAAGCGACGCCGTGTGTGTACGTACGAAGTAGCCCATGGTCCAATGTGAAAGGACACTTCCGGCCTTGGTTATCAGGGTATCGTCACTAATCCATGATTCTCACGACGACAACGACACCCTTAAGTTCCCAATCCGCGATTGTTAACTGTCGCTGAAGCTCTTTTATTGACTGTTACTTCTCTACTCTCTCTCGAGATACTGGCTGGGCGACACGAGCGAGGCTACCGCTGCCAAGTGTTCCAACGACCTGACTCGATTGACACGAAGCTCTCCCATCGAAACGCGACTCTCGCCGCATAGCACGAAGATTACGAACTCAACTTCCGCGGCCGGCACGGCTCCCGCGGCTAGCTGCGCGCGCATGCTCACAACGGCTCAGGCTTGATGAGCGTCTGCACCGGGGCACAGGAGGATGACCTCGCCGTATCCCTCGACGTCAAGCCGGACGAGGGATGAGCGCAGCGCAAATACAGGGACTCTATCTTCAGCTACGGTACGACCGCGTGCACGACGACTTATAAGCACACAGAGTGATAGAGAGGCTCCGCCAAGAGACCTTAGCCCCCTGCCGGCTGCACATCCGAGTCGGATAGGCGAGAGTGACAGCATAGGGGGCAGGAGTAATGGCGGGCTTCTGGGTGGATCAATGAGGGATGGGAATATACCGCAAAGGCAAGGGCTGGGAAAGGGCCTTTTTGATGGGGGTTGGACTGGGAGCTGGACCGCTCTCCAAGGGCTGGCAAGCTCAGTTCTCAGCGGAGACACGGCGGCCAGCCCCGCGGCGAAACCTGTTGGTGCCACAAGGAGGAAGAGACAGAATAGTTTCACGCCGGCATTCTCGGAATGGGGACCTCCGGGTAAACCGAACAAAGGCAAAGGCAGAGATATTGCAGCAGAGTCACTCGCAGCACGCAACTCAGCAGTCAACGTCCTCCGGACAGCAGCAGCAATGCAGGACCACGAAGGCACCAATTCAGGCCTCCAGGTCGGACGACACAAGCGCCGCACCTCCGATGACCTCACCAGCTCAGCGGTTGACGACGATACCGACGCCCTTGTATACGTGCACCACGTTAAACCAACTGATACAGTCGCTGGCGTCATCCTGAAATACAACTGCGACCCCGCCGCCTTTCGCAAAGCCAACCGTCTTTGGCCCAATGACGTTATTCAATTCCTCAAAACCGTTCTTGTCCCCGTCGACGCCTGTGCTGTGCGCGGCGTCCCCTGCGACCCGCCCGCAGATGTCATCGGCCCAGCGCCAGCGCCAGCTGATGAGGAACCGCCCAACCTCTCCTCCCCCTCCGCACCTTCCCCCTGGGCAGACTCCATCCTCTCCCCCCCAGATATACCAGAAACAGACACCTCAGACCCAGACGGCGACCCCTGGATCCCCGTCCGCTGGGTTCTGCTCCCCTCCGCCCCAGCCTCCGAACCGACACAAATAGCGCGCCTGCCGCGCAAGAAACTAGGCTACTTCCCGCGCCGACGCCGGAAAAGCGGCGATGTACCCTCGAGCGTCGCGTCATTGCTTGATTCACCACATGGCTCCGTCGATGTCTCTGCCTCTGTGTCTCCGGCTGCGAGTCCGTGGCCGAGGCGACTGAGTAATCTGACCAGTGGCATGGCAGCGGGGCGTGCTGTGTCGGTGGGTCGACCGAGGCGGGAGTCTACGAGTGAGGCTGCGGCAAGGGGTGGATGGTTCCGTGGCCCTGGTGGTGTGGGAACGTTTGGGCCGGATGTTAAGAGGCCGGGGCCGGCACAGGATGGGCTGAACCGCTGGGTTAACAGACATGTGCCGGGGTTGACGATTAATGATGTGGCGACTAAACCTGGAGCTGGATTTTCCGATAGTGGTGTAGGAGATGCCGCTGGAAGTGGCGGACGAGGCATCGAAGTTGCTGCTGCGGCTATTGAGGGTTGGGTGAGGCGACTTGGAAGGCCAGTAACGCCATCGGGAAGGCAACTGACGAGGGAGGAAGTCGGGGATTTGATTGAATTACGAGACGGGGCTGGGAGTGACGACGGAAATATGGGCGGATTTGGAGGTGGCACTGGTGGCATATCACGGGGGAGGAAAGGTGCAAAGGGGGATTGAATTGGGTGAGCGGCAGCGTTTGGATGCGCACCCCACTTGGAGAGTGACAACACTTGGTGTTGTACGATGGAACGAGTGAGATATTTGGCTACACGTAGCAGTATCCGCACATAACAAATTTTCTAGATCACATTTTCAATTCATACCTAGCAAGAAGGTGCGCGCGGCGTTTGGGAGAGGAGGGATTGTGGATTCCGCATTTTTGTGCGGCTGAGAGATGAGAGGAACTGGGAGAATGATATCTATATTTTACACGGCCATGAAACCAGCATGTGTGCGATGAACCGGGCTGAGAGATGACGAGAGAATTGAAGTTTGCATTGGCTTATTCCGCACGCCACCCACCCACTGCCCATCTCAGACGCCATCCAATTCTCCTTTCACAACTTTCCAGTGTTCGGCACGGATACCAGTATACCCGTGGTATCCGGGTATATCCTCGAGTATATACCTACCCGGCGATATTTTAGGAGTATCCGGCGTATCCGGATACTCTCGAGTATATATCCGGATACATGCCAAGAATAGCCAAGCGCAGCCAAGACCTCTTTTTTCCAACGTCGTGAGATCTATATTGATGCTGTATAAAGTGATAATTATCCTCAGAATGAGCGACTCGTCGTTATCAGATATACCAACGGAGCCTGAGGGCTATAATAGCTATGATACTCATAATGAGCCAAGTCTGCCAACGCTGCCGCCCCCTATTCATATTCAACAGGATATTAATCCTACACCGCTCCGGCTTCAGCCTCCAGGACGAATGCTGCCACCAACGTCATCAGTACTATTTACGAAGCTATTATATTCGCGATTGATACTTGATAGTAACCCACCTACAGTCAAAGTAACTTGCTTACAACCAGGCTGCGGATATTCACCTACTCCGCAGCTATTAAGTCAGACTTCAACCGGTAATCTTTGGAAGCACTATACGCAGAAGCATCCAACAGTAGCATATACAATGAAAGGTCATACAATTACGCCGTCAAGCCCATCAAGTAGTGCATCGTCATTTTTTGAGCCACGGCCGCGGAACCCGCAAGTCCAGCCCGCTCAAGCTCAAGCATCAAATAGTAGAGCGAAATACCGAGAGTTATTACTCTCATTCGTTGTATCAAATAACCTCTCCTTACGACTTATTGAGAGCTATTCGTTCCATCAATTAGTACAGTTCTTAAGCCCAAGTACTCTATCGATATCGTCGCGAACACTACACCGAGAGCTACAGCGGCAATTCTCATATCACCGAGGATTGCTACAATTAGAACTCCAGGCTCATATTACCTATGGCGGCCGGATATCTATTACAACAGATGCATGGACTGCACGGAACTATACAGAGTACGCTGCTGTCACAGGCCATTGGATTAATGAGAAGTGGCAGCACCGGTGCGTATTACTTGATGTAATCCACCTTCAAGAGCCAATTCATAGCGGCGAATATCTCGCTCAAGAGTTAGCTGCAGTAACAGATAGCTTCGAAATTACAGGTGCTATATTTACTTGTACGCGGGATAATGCCTCAGCGAATACTGTGATGCTTTCAGAATATGAGAAAATAGCCAGTAAGCAGCAGACGACTATTCAACAGCCATGGACGTTTACTGTAAAGGAAGGGGACGTTCGGTGTATTGCTCATATTATCAATCTTGCAGTTCAAGCTACTCTAAAGAGCTTGAAAGCTAGCCCGGATACAGAAACAGAAGCGTACTGGTGTCAGCAAGGGCTTGCCCGGATTCCGCAGCGTATTGATAACTCTTCTACTGAAGTATCAGCTACGCTTGAGAAGCTCCGAAGGCATATTTATGTCTTTCGAAACCGAAGAGCATGGAAGGATGCTTTACAGAAGCAGATACAAGCTGCAGGCCAGAAGCCACGCCAGCTATCACTTGATATGCCTATACGCTGGAATTCAACGTACTATATGCTTGAAACAGCTATAAAGCTTCGAATACCAATTACTGCAGTATGCTCTACGCAGAAGCTTGATATCAGTATGAAGGATATTGCGTTAACAAGCAACGATTGGGCTATTATCGAAGCTCTTGAACGATTATTCTTAGTATTCTTAAAGCCGTCAAGACGGCTACAAAGCGATTCATATCCAACGCTCAACTTTACAATTCCTCTTTACTTAAAGATGATAAATAAGGTCACATTACTACAAGAAGAGCTTGGTAGAAGCTCTACGATCGGAGTAGCTTGTGGAGCTGCGCTTCAAAAGCTTAATGAGTATTATACTCTTACAACGAATCGGCAATGTAAGCACTCAGCTGTTGCTACAATTTGCGACCCACGAATGAATCATACAGTATTTAAGAAGATATATCCAAATGCTATAGACGATACACGAAGATTACGAGCAAGAGCGCAGTTCGAAGACGTTTGTAGAACGTACCAAAAGCGAGAGTATCACCTTGATACGGAGCGAATTACTCACGAAACAGCTCTTGCAGAAGCAATAGGTGCTACTGCTACAATAGATCAAGAACCTGATTCTGACGAAGATCTATTTGCGTCAGAAGGCTTGGCTTTTCAAGAGCCAGAATGGAGGCGCTGGATGCTTGAACCACGGCCCGGTGAGCATACTGATATTCTCAAATATTGGTGCGCAAAGCAATACCAATATCCAGTTATTGCCCGTATTGCTCGTGATCATCTAGCTATTCCAGCAACATCTGCAGCATCGGAACGAGTATTTAGTAATGGTAGTGATATTATTACAAAGAAGCGGAATAGGTTATCACCGCCAACTATTAGATATTTACTTTGCTTACGGAATTGGGGTAAAATACGGGAGGCTGATAGCGACGGCGATGATGCTGACGATGAAGCACCTGAATAGGGACTTGCAGAAAGGGGGGGTCTCACGGAAAGGGGGCTCGCGGAAAGGGGTTTACTACTATTATCAAAAGCTTCATTCTTTTTTATATACGCTATTCTATTTTTATATACAATATTCAGCCTCATGTATCCGGATATATACCCTACCCTACCCGTCAGATCGTCGCCGGGTATATACCCTACCCGTGAGCTTCACGGATACTACCCGGATATGTATCCGCCGAACACTGCAACTTTCCCCCCCACCCACAAATGGTCCTTCTTCCCAACCCCCTCTTTCATATCTCCCCTCCCCACCAACCCCTCCACCGGCGTAAACCGCCCGCTCACGCAACTCGGACACCCCACCCGCTCCCTCAACATCTCAGTGTCCCGCCGCGTCTCCCATCGTAGCTCCTCAACAATGCCCTTAAGCCTGTCGATCTTGTCGGACAGCTTGGTTTGCTCAGCGAGCAGCGAAATGATAGAATTTTGGAGGAAGGCGATGTGAGTGTTAAGGGAGAGGGAGAAGGATGAATGGGGTAGTGTGTTTCTGGTGCTCATGGTTTGTGTAGTTGGAGGGTAGAGTGGTGTTGATGAGGTGCCGGGGATTGGTGGGTATGGAAGGGTTTTGTGGGGGGTTGTTAAAGGAGCGTGGGTGGAAAGGAGAGAGATTGAGCCGGAGCGTTCTACGGGATACTTGGAATCTTTCTTTGGGAGCTGGTCTTGCTTTGTGGGAGAAAAGCAAAGTGTGGGAGTAACGGTGACCATCCATCCATATATTCAGGACATTCCACCCATAATCAGGGACTCTGCCATATTGAGAGCCGACTTATACCCTCGTAACTGCCCAAACCCTAAGATGCCTTTGTTCAGTAAGAGATAACGAGCACAATAATGCACTCAATACAGCATGGAGCTACCCCACTAGTCTTCACCTCTACCCCTGGATGGCACCCAAACAATCACCAAGACAGCCACTCCTAGACATCCCACCATCACAAACCACTCTCTCAACCCGCAACGACAGCTCAAAAACCGCCCTCACCCACACAACAAAACATCAAAACAACAACGCCCCATGATCTGTCCGAACTATACATGGGTATATCTATTCTCATCCCATCCCATCCCATCCCATATCCCGCTATAATGCCGCTAACCCGACCATTGATGACGCCGCCCACTTCTCATGGCACAACATCCACTACCACGGAAATTAATAATCAACAGCCCACCCATTCTCTTTCAGGAACTCCTCACACGCCTCCCGCAGCGCGAGGTTGGGTCGCAGCTCGTCGATGCGCAGTGGTTCGCGCGTTAGAGGGTCGGTGGGAGAGCGACGGAGGTGCTCCATGATCGAGGCGCGCTCGTAGGATTTACCCGTTCTTGTCTGTGGGGACGTGTGTCAATAAAGGCGCTTGAAGTGGTATAGGGAGAACTAGTTGTGAAGTTTGATGTCTACAGGGGGCATGACTTACTATAACCGGATCGACCATGAAGGAGAAGGTAATATCGTCCACCGCCCAATCCGGCACAACCCTCTTCTTCTCCGCCTTCCCAGCCTCAACCCAAACCCTCTCAACCTCCTCAATCATCTCCTCCCCCTCTTTCCTCACCCCCTCCTTTTCCCCTTCCTCAGCTCCCTCAACCCGCCTCTCCAAATCCCGCCTCAACCCCTCCACAACCTTCCCCCTCACCCCCTCCGTCCCCGCAAGCCTCTCCTGCTCCCTCTCCTCCCAAGCAGCCTTCTTACACTTCAACACCACCAACACCACACTCCCCAAGCTCCCCGCCTCCTCCTTCGCCGAAATCTTATACGCCTCCATAGCCTCCTTCAGCGCTTCCCTTCCCCTACCCAACCCCACCAGCGCCTGCGCCCCATAATGTCTAGCCTTCATATTCGCCTTCTCCTTAATCGCCAAACTCGACGAGCAGTCTTCCAGCACGCCCTCTAGCAGCCCCAGCTTCAGCCGTGCCATCGCGCGATTGGTATACAACATCGGCGCAGACGGGTCGAGGAGGATGGCCTTTGTATACAGCGCCTCGGCTTGCGCGAGATCATTGGAGCGGAAGAACCTGGATGCCTCGAGGTTAGCTGCTGAAGCGGCGGTGGTGGTAGTGTGAAGCTCGAGCGCGTGGGCTCCCTCGGCCTCGGTCATGAGGGTTTTGGGCGTGGATGCGCCGGTGCTTGTGTCTTCGTCCTCACTCGTTTCGTCGACTGGTTCGTGGGGAGTGGGACGAGTGGGGAGAGGGTAGTCGGGCGAGGATGTGGGGGGGGTAATGATGGGGTATTCGGGGGGAGGTGGGGCCGGGAAATAGTCCTCGGGCTCGTCTGGAACGTCGTCCATGGCGAGTGTGATGTGCCCTTGTATCCCCTTTGTGGATTTTCTCTGGTCTACTCTGATGTGCCTACTCTAACCGCAGCGAGCACTTGCTTTGTGACCCAACAGTGAGAACGAGAACCATTAGTCGAGTGAACCAAACCAGAGACCCAGGCGCAGGAGTATTTCAAAACCAGGGGCAAAAGAAACCATAGTGAAGGCAGAAAATAATATCAAAAGAACCAACGCAAAGAAGGCAAGCCAACCTACTTATTCCCCTCCTCCTTCAACTGCTGCGCGCGAGCCGCCGACATCTCTACCACTTTATCAACCTTCCCGGTGCCTCTGCCTACCACGCGCTACTCCAGGCAGCTCTATCCCTCGGTGTGAGTCGCCGTGTGAGTCGTGCAGCCGGGGCGAGACAAGGCTGTGATATGAAGCCAGCAGGCTGCAGCGACGGCCTGGAGGGGGCCTGGGCGCTTGGGGACCGTTTGATTGGAATTCGATAGCTTGGAGGGGGATTGTATCGGGATGCGGCGGGCTGGGTCTGGAGCGTGGGGGGGGGGTTTCGAGCTGGGCTGGTCTGCGTGGCTGTGCGCTGTTGGTTGGTTGAGTCGGCGTGGTCAGCCTAGTGGGTGTCTGATTCACGACCGGGGGTTCTGGACGAGAGGGTAGAGAAAGAAAAGAAGGGGAGAGGAGAGCTGAGTTTAAATGTTTGACGCTGGCGTTTGTAAGTTACTGGTGGTGTGCTGTCGTGGGGTTCAGCTATTCGCGGGCCATCCCTATTCCTGTTGGCTGTTGGGGTTTGTATCTGTCAGCCGTGGAGCTATTGGAAGCTGCTAGAAGGGGAAATATATACCATGATTTATGGTATGACATACAACTTGACGTATTGGCTTCAACAAGAGCTCTGCAAATATATACAAACAATACTATATATTCTGTCTATCCATACTGCTGTTCTTGCGTTCTAGCCGGCTGTTTCGGTGTTGGTTGTCATCTTGGATTCATCAGGGACTCATAGGCTCATAACTTCACAACGCAATCAATATCACGATGTATCCCCGCAACATATCACATATCACTGTCCCATGAGCCTGGACGGTGGCATAACACGCCTTCTAGTTTATATAGCGCGTAATATACACTTTCCAAACATCTCTCTCGTCTCCTCTCCCTTCTCCCATCCTCCTCTTCTATCCCAACCAACATCCCCATTCGAATCGAGCAGGTCGATTAGAAAGGCTACCTCATAGTTAGTATTCCGTGTCGTGCCCATATCACCCACCACACAAGCAGGGACATCACATACGTTGTCCGAAGCCGGAATCTCCCTGATGAACCTTTGTCCGATGAAAGGCACCTTCTATAAAGCCATTAGCCCCCACTCTCAATTGACACCATTGCCATATCATGTCATCTCTGAGGACGTACCGAGAGAATATCCTTGCGCACAATCGGCACCTCGCCGAAGAAGAAGAGGGCGAAGAGGCCAGCGGAGGCGCCGAAGCCGGCAAGAGTCATGCCACTGTCTACCGTCAGCATGTCTGTCCTAAACACATTGTCCATATCTATCCTCTGTCCCTATCTAGGCCGCCCTGCCTTCACTCCCATCTCGGACCGGGGGGAACCCACAGCTTCGTCGTCGCCTTGACGGTCCAGCCGCCAATGTTTGGCTGGATCTTGTACCTGCGCCCTATCAGCCCTCCATTCCTCCCTCTCTCTCAGCACCCCATCGCGGATCTTCAAACGTACTTAGGGCCATAAGCGGAGCGGTAAGTGCGGTACGCCTTCTGCGACGCCCACGGGGCGGTAGTCTATCGTAGCTCAGTCAGCCCAGCTCTGTCCATCGTTGGTTGCCTCTGGGGCAAAACTCTTCGTGCGAGAGAAGGAGAGAGGCTTACCCCAGCCATTGTATGCGATTAGGTTGCGCGGAGGCGTATGTGGAGGTTTCAATTGGGGGGTTTGGTGCGAGTCGGAGCTTGCTCTGGTCAATTGTAGATTTGCCCAGAGTTATTCGCAAACATCACGTGACCGAAAACAAGAGGATAGCCGGGATGTTCCGTGAGTGATGTGTGAGCTGCTGTCTTGATCGCTGGTCTTCTTCGTTTTGTGTGGTATATTTAAATATGTACAACTTCATTTTGTCTTTAATTGCACATATACTGTTCATTCTGTGTTGATGTTGTGCCAAACAAGTCATAACAGCTGCTTGATTGAATATCTCAGACAGATAGTGGCAGTTCGTTGTACCCTCTCATACAAAACCAGTCCAGAGGTACTTGCTCTAAGTTACAGTACTTTCGCATCGGGCATAACAGGAATCTGATAACGAGAAAAACCAGCGTCAAGACCACGACAACTGTTATCTCTTCTCTTCACAATCACCGTCACTGCTTCCGCCAGCTTCTTACTTCTATAAACCCGCAGCTCGTCCCTTATAACTCTTAGTGTCTGTCCCCAAGAGTTACATCACCGATCCTTTAACCAACATCCTGGGCACAGTACAATCCCATCCCGTCGCCCTCGGCAGATCTCGGAGCGCTGCCTGCAAATCCTCTCCTCCTGATTCGACAACACCATCACCACCCCTCGACTGTCCACGGAGATCGCTCCTCACGTCACTCACACGGCACAACCGCGGTCGCTCACTCATCCAACTTTCCGCGGCTAGGCGGGCGACCTGTCGGTCAACCAGAGAGGGGGGACGACCATCCATAAAATACATCGAGATCCCCCGTCGCTATCCCCCGAGATAAGACGCCCATTTCCCATTTCCCATTTCCCCGCAAACTCGACCCCGCGATCCATTTTTCCCCGCGCGACTATTCAGTCCCCGTGTGGTGACGATATAGCACACAGCCAACGCTTTGAAGACGACGAGACCGACTGCTGATCGGTATTGAGCGCGTAGGTGTTAAAATCCACCGACGTCCACAAGTTGAACAGCACCGACACAAACTCATACTGCGCTGAACGGAAAGGACGACTCGTTTATCGGGTCTGACATAAGAGGAAGCCACGACCTTCCCTCTTGTGAAAGGAAGCCACGACCGAGAACGAAACCAAGCACAGCCACCTTCGCACCTTCCCATACCGGCCTCACCTGGCCAACCACCATCACACCTTCCAAACTGGCTTCACCACCCACCATGCCTTCCCCAACCCAGCACCCCCCTCGCCCCTTCCTCTCCAACTTCCTCGCTGCCTTCCGCGCCCGCTCCTCCTTCCAACCCACAAAAAAGCAATCCACAACCACCTCAACGAGCACCACCACACAACCCCCCTCGCCCTCTTCTCAGCCCTCACACCCCCGCACCATTACCCCGCCAAAATCCCACAACCACCCCACGACATCCGCCCTCTCGGCGCTGCATTCAACGCCGCTCTCGCGCTCGCCAGGCACGAGCCCGGGGTATATGTCTACCATGGCCAACTCGGCCGCGGCGAGGAGGAGGGGGAGCGAGAGTGAGGGCGAGGGCGGAGGGGGGTTTAGGGAAATTGGTAGTGGAGGGGGGGAAAAGTGGTATGTGGGCGGTAGGACGGCGGCGGGAGAGGAGAGGTTCTTTAGGTTGGGTGTTGTGAGGCGAGATGGGAGTTTGGACAGGGTTAGTGCGGATAGGTTGAGCTTGTAGGGTGGGAGAGTTGGAGGTTGGAGGGGTTGGAAATTGCATTGACTGCGGGTTGGATATGAACGATCATTGGATCGATATGAGATATGGATATGACACTGGATACGGATACGACACCTTGGGAACGCATATGACATTGGATATGGACATGACACATGGACACGGATATGGGAGGCAACTCGGCTTGGACAGGACAGCATGGACGGACGGCTAGGTTTGCTTGATTTGGCGTTCTGGCGACATGGTAGATGCAGATGACCGACGCGACTCGGCGCGGTGACGGACAAAACGCAGTGCTTGGCTCGGCTTCGTCTGATTATACGATGAATACACACACATTACCGCCCTTCAATAATCTCGTGCCAGACTGGGTAGTTCCATTTTGTCATTTATTAACTCCGTAATCCCTGATATATACCCCCTGGTATCACCCCACCCCCTAAAACCCCTCACCCATCTCAATCCCCCCCTCCTCCTCCTCATCCTCCTCCTCCTCCCTCCTCCCCTCCGCCTCCCTCCCCCCACCCAACCTCGCCAACCCCCACACCACCCCCCTCACAACCCCCCTCACCTCCCCAACCTCCCAAGCACCCACACTCCCCACCCCCCTCACCCCCACCTTTCCAACCACATCCTCCCCCTCGCCGGCGACAACAAACCCCCTAACCTTCCCCCCCCTCACCTCCCTCACCCCCCTCACCAGCCGTCCCACCACCGCCTCTTCCCCGCCAAGACAACCTCCACTAACAAGCGCCTGCGCGATCTCAACCCAGTGGAAGGGGAGCATGTCGCAGAACTCCGAGCTGGCGAGCTCGGCTGCTAGTATCGTCTCTAGGCCTGCGGCTGTTAGCCAGGGCGGGGGCACTAACGTCGCGCGGTTTTGTCGGTGGAGTAGGAGTGCGAGCCACAGCGGCAGGGTTGTAGGGCGGGGGGGATTGAGTTGTGGTGTCGGGCCCTGGTATCGTTAGTTAGTAGTTCCCCCATTTCTTTCTAGTCCCCTGCTGCGTGCGCGGATGATCGGGTGGAAGTCCTACCGAGAGTAACTCAATCGATCTCATTCTCTGCCGCGGAATAACGGTTATAGGTTCGTTTTCACACAGGAAAGCCATTTCTGCTGGTGTCAACCCCACGGGGAGGGGGAGCGCCATGGTATGGTGTGTGCGCGTACGGTGAGAAGTATGGCGAAGAGTCGTGGAGTCGCGGGGCGCGTTCAAGCGCGCTTGGGGATGATGGTGAGGAGGGCTCGGCGCGGCTTGTGGGTGTGGATTGGTCGTGGGTGGATGATGGTGGGCGGCGTAGGTTTGGTATGTGTATCGTGGTATCATAAAGGCGTGTTTGGCGGTATGGTGGTGGGTATAGTTTAGGTTGTGAGGTGAGGGATGTCGCGTTGTGATATTGAAGTTGCGAGGCACATAGGGCCAAAAAAAGCGAAAATGGGGCACGACCCCAAGTGAGCTACCCGGCAAAAAAGTAGGAAAAAAGTCGAAAATGCAAAACAGGCCCTGATAGAGGCCAGCTTCCTAGTAAATGTGTCAAAAGTCAAAAATTCCAAACTCAATTAATGTATTATAAATTGTGACTGGAATGGGTTGGTCGACATTGTGTATAGGGCTGATTTACGAGGTGAAGAAAATGGCCTCTTCGGATTTTGGATACAATGTCAAATTAGAGAGATATTCCGCAATTGTTAGGCAGGAAGCCATGGTATGAGACGTGGCCGAGGTCTTGCAGCTACAGGAGAAAGGTCACGTATGGTATTATTATTGAGTGAGATTTACAAGAGGAATCGAATGGCCTCTTACAATTTTTGATACAAGGGAGGGAGGTAGAGTTTACAGGCCAAGTAAGAAGCGGAAGGTGATGGAATAGGGTGGGAGGTACAGGTCACAGGCCAAGGAAGGAGCAGGAGGTGATGGAATTAGGAGGTAGAGAGGGCCCAAGCTGAATGGGGAAGCCGCCATGATATAAGAATAGTGTAGTTTATGTAGTAAGTATACAGCGATGATGTTATATAAGGTAGTTTTTGTGTAGAAATAGAATAGGCAAGTTTGTGTATAGATTAGAGTACAGTTGGCAAAGTAATTATCATATTTCATGAAATAGGGGGGTCATGATATGAGAATAGTTGGAAGATTTGTAGTTTATATAGTAAGTAGAGATAAGAGTTTATGGTAGTTTTTGTGTACAAATGGAATGGTGTGTAAGTTTATAGATAGGAGTAAAAGTGGTAAAGAAATTATCATATTGCATGGAATAGGGGGGTGTCATGATATAAGAATAGTTTAGAAGCAGGAGGTGGTGGAATAGGGAGGGAGGTGGAGGTTATGGACCAAGATAGAGATCAGGGTATAGGGAAGGTAGAAGTGCCCAAGCCAAAAGGTGAAGCCGCCATGAAAGGAGCCCACAGCAGGTGTTGGGGTTAGAGGAGGTGGAGGTCAAAGAATAGGGAGGCAGGTAGAGGTCACAGAATAAGGAAGGAGTTATAGCAAGATTAGAGTGATAAAAGGAAGAGGGTAAAGGAGAAGCCAATTCCAAGCCTACCTCAAGAACTGGCCGTATCTCTGGCGCAAATTGGGAATCCCCACGCAAATGATCCCTGTCACGCAGGCGCGCATGGGCCATTCCTTCGCAAATATTCCTTCCCAAATTGGGGAAACCCCCCCCCCCTTTCCGGTCCCCATGCGCGCGCGCGCACCTCTGTATTTCTTTAGTAGAGTAATTCTGTTACCCAGCCAAAGTCCCAGCATCGGACGTACGTGATGGCAGCTACTGCCAGGTTCCCTTACCTCCGGGCGCACGGCGTGCTGCTCTGCGCCAAGTGCCAGACCGGCCTCCCGCCCACGCGCGCTAGCCAGGAGAGGCACCTCAGGCAGCCACCACACCTACTGAAGGGTTCTCAGTTGCGAGCGCAGCTCGACCTCTTCGCGACATATGAGCTCCGGCTGCCGGGCGAGGTCGAGCTGCCGCATCAGCCCTGCGCACCCATTCCAGGACTGCGGTGCCACACGGCATTCGTGTGCGCCATCTGCGATGTCGACGGCCAGAGCCTGAGCCTTACGCGGTCGGAGCCAGCTATCAGGGCGCACGTGTCCAAGGAGCACGGGCAGAAGCCGGCCAGGCAGGCCGAGGGCAGGTCGTGGCGAAGGTGCACTGTCCAGACCTTCTTCGCTGAGACCCAGCACGTCCGGTACTTCGCGGTTACAGACGACGGCAGGGCGGAAGGGGACGCAGCTACTGCTGCCATTGCCCTCGAGCCGCAGGAGCAGGACTTCTTCGAGCTGGCCGAGGAGGACGCGAACATGGTCGCAGAGGACATCAAGACGGAGGCCAGCAGGGTGCACGGCTTCGACAGCCACCGCTCGGCCGTGGTCCCATGGCTGGGGCGGACGGGCATCGCAAACCACGTGCGGGGCCTGCAGAAGGACGAGATGCATGCCTCCTACACGCTGCCAAAGAGCGCAGATGAGGGAGAGCCCGAGCTGTTGCTGATGCTCGAGGTCATGGACGAGATCCTCGCCGAGGCACACGGCTGGTGCTTCGACGGGCCGGACTGCATGCTGACATGGCCGAGGCAGCTCGCACTGAGCCGCTTCCGCGAAGCGCCTGCATCATCATCATCAGCGTCAGCCAGCTACAGGGCAGGCAGGGCACGTGGCTTCGACCCCAAGAAGGAGCCCTCCACACTGCGCACGAACTTTGGGTACTGGAAGCAGTTCATGACGTACTGCTACCGCGTGGCATACTGCGGCAGCCACTTCACGCCACCTACGCCTGCTGCAACGGGAGACGGGAGTGCGGACCAGGGCAGGTGCCCCGAGGACTGGATCCGGCTGACGGACGAGCAGACAGCGGCTTGGGAGGCAGCCCTGCAGTGCACCGCTGATGGAGACCGCCCAGCCCTGAACGACGCCCTCCGGTCCCTCTGCATGGCCCTCGTCTGCCACGAGTTCGGCGGCGACCGCTTCAGCTCGCCTCTCCTCAGCTTCTGCGCGATGCTCAGCGTCAAGCCGCGCACCAACTCGTGGAAGGAGCCGGGCAACTTCAACAGCTGCCTGTCCGGCCTGATCTGGGCCGTGCAGCTGCTCGTCTTCAGCACGGCCGCATACCTCGAGAGGTCGGGCGCCGGCAGCACGCTCGAGCACATCAACACCATCTGCGAGCAGTACCTGCGGCCAGACACGGAGACGCCCATGGGCGAGATACTGGGCTGGCGCCTGCTGCTGTTCGCAGTGTCGAAGGAGGGCGTGGGCTCGCACCAGGCACATTGGGACGAGGACGAGCAGATCCTCACCTACAGGGACGTCGACCTGAACATGGACGAGGTGCAGCAGCTGCTGCTGTCAGAGTTCAGGCAGGCGCAGCAGCTGCTGCACGATGAGCTCATGTTTGGCGCAACAGGCCTGCCACGGATGCACGCTTGGGCGCTTAAGGACAACCTCGATGCCGACAACTTCGGCTGGTACTTTGGCGAGCACCGGGAGAACGTGGCACTGCTGAAGCCGTTCGCGGGCTCACTGCGCAACGTTATACAGGAGTCGCAGTCACTCCGAGCATCACTCCTCGACACCACTGATGAGGATGGAGGGGCTGATGCGAGAGTCGTGTGGCGACAGAAGGCCATCGACCAGTACGAGGCCGTCGCTGACGAGTTCCTCAAGCGGCTCCTCGTCCTCATCCACATGGCCTCGGGCCAGCCGCTGCGCGAGAGCGAGCTGTTCTCCCTCACCTGGCGCAACACGCAGCGGAGGCGCAGCGTCTACCTCAAGCACGGGCTCGTGATGCTGCACACGACCTACCACAAGGGCCAGCAGCAGACGGGCAAGTTCAAGGACAACATCCGCTTCCTGCCGGCCACCATCGGAGACCTCCTGCTGGACTACCTGGTCTATGTCGTGCCGCTCCGCCAGGCCTTCCTGCGCCAGTCCCCCCCACGCGCAATCATGTCCGCGTACCTGTGGTGGAAGGACGGGGCCATGTGGGCCGACAACCGGCTGACGCGGTGCATGGAGCGGGCGTGCGTGCGGGCCAAGGTGCCACGGCTGCATATCGCCAACTGGCGCCAGATGACGGTCAACATTGTGGAGACCAAGTTTGCGGGCAAAGACCTTGCGTGCTTCGAAGGCGTCGGGGCCAACGACGACGAGGAGGACGCAGAGGAGATTGACGACGACATCCGGACCATGACGAGGCAGCGGAACCACAGCACGCGGGTGATGAACCGCAGCTATGCGAACCAGCTGAACGCGAACTTTGGGAACGTGTGGGACGGCCTCATCCGTCGGAACCTGCGCGCGTCGTCCCTGTGGAGGGAGCTGTGGGATCTCGACACAGTGCTTGGGGATGCAGTCGCGGCAGCAGGGAAGAGGAAGCGCGAGGCGGCAGAGGAGGCAGAGCCAGACAGGCCACGGATGCTGAAGAGGATTGCCGTGGGCGTGCACCGGCCGCGCAAGAGGTGGTCCGCTGCAGCCCTGCTGAAGGGCGTGAGGGGGCTGTACAATGACGACAAGCTGCAGTGGAAGTCGGCCGCACAGGAGCGGGCGATGACGACCGTCATGTCGTGGACGGAGCAGGTCGTCGTCATCCTAGGCACCGGTGAGGGGAAGAGCCTGCTGTTCATGCTGCCCTGCGTCCTGCCTGATGCAGGCGTGACAATCCTCGTGCTTCCGCTCGTGTCTCTGTGTGGTGACCTGCTGCGGCGTGTGCAGGAGCTCGGGATAGACCACCTCGTGTGGGCCCCTGGCGAGGAGCGAGACGCATCGCTGGTGTTTGTCACGGTCGAGGCTGCAAGCACGTCTCAGTTCCGGGCGTATGCACACAGGCTGGCCGCGACACAGCAGCTCAGCCGCATCGTGATAGACGAGGCGCACCTCACAATCACGGCGTCTGAGTACCGTCAGGCCATGGCCGACCTCGCCCTCATCCGCAGCGTGCGCACGCAGTTCGTCTACCTGACGGCCACACTGCCGCCAACGCTGCAGGCCGCGTTCGAGAGGCAGAACAACCTCGTGAAGCCAAAGGTCGTGCGGGCCTCGACGAACAGGCGGAACCTCTCGTACCTCGTGCAGCGGGCCACAGGGCGGGGGAGCCTGCTGGAGGAGGGTGCGCGGAGAGCCAGGGACGCGTGGCAGGCGAGCGGGCTGCTCGACCAGACCCGAGACAAGATCATTCTCTACGTGCAGACACGGGAGGATGCGCAGGACCTGGGCAGCCTGCTCCGCTGCCCAGTCTACACCGCGATGGCCGGCACGGCAGAGGAGAAGCGGGAGCTGCTCAGGACGTGGCTCATGACCCCAGAGCTGCCATACATCGTGGCGACATCAGCCCTCAGTGCTGGCTTCGACTACTCGCACGTCCGGCTCGTCATGCACCTGGATGAGCCACGCTCCCTCGTCGACTTTGCGCAGGAGTCTGGCCGGGCACTCCCGGCCTTCGAGGTAGCGGTGGAGTGCCCTCGTCTCGACATCCATACCGGCATTGCCCGCCTGCGACTGCCACTTGTGCGGCAGGAGCACGGCTGAGTATGTGTAACGCTGACTTCTAAACGATAGAAGACACAGAGGTTCTCTTGCGTAAAGGTTTACTTATCAGAGGAGGCAGGGGATCAGACACAAAGGCTTCAAGTAACACGTTACTAGTATATAACAAATACTGTATTGAGTTGAGCACGAAGCTCCTATCTAA